TCTCTCTCTCTCTCTCTCTCTCTCTCTCTCTCTCTCTAGCTGCTACACCCGCGTTTCGGCACCTGTGTGTTCACCAGCGCGTGCTGTCGTGTGTTTTTTTTCTTAATGTTCCGCGTGAAAACAGAGAGGTCTAAAAATAAACGTTTGACGCACGTTGCCGATGTTAAAGGTAAGTAAGCATCATCGCGATCATGTGCTTTTGCTCTTTTCTTCTGAACAATCTTACGCGGCCGACGCGCCGTTTGCGCGAAGTTTGTGAAACATCTAGCACGCAATTAACGAAACGTACTAGCGATCATCACAGTCCGAACATCACAGAATACGAGACAGGGAACCACCTGCTACTGACCTTTTTATATCCTTGCGAAAATAAATAAACTATAAAGCGAAACGCGTAAATTTAAAACCTGCGTTGTTGTTACACTTGATAGATTAATGGAGAAGCGTAAACGCGCGCGCGCGCGCGCGTGCGGTCGCGAAGAAACAGCGGAGAAAACAATCAATGTGCCTGTTGAAAAAGAAAAAATCGCTCGAGAGAAGTTTCACGGAATCGCAATTTTTTTTCGGTCGACGTGCCGTATATCATAACGCGCGCTTTGTGTTGTTGCGACTGCGCGGCATCATTGTCGGAAACACAAAAGCGTTCCTATACGTATGACGTCCGCTAAAACGGGCTAAAGTTAAATCAACTTTTCGTGTTGGCGGAAACTGCGACTCTCGTCTATTGTGAAATCTCTGAATTTCTCGAAGTCGCGTGCGTTTACCAAGAGAAGCGCCGATCTCAAAACCGTCGAATTCTATTGCCAGAATTATACATAAATTATACATTTTGCACATTTATTTCGAAGAATATCGATCGGCAATAAATTCTTACTTCTGATTTTTTTGTGAAATCTCGTGCAGCGATATTTTTCATTATAAATATGACAGTTTTGCACACAGCTTCCAATATAGTAGCGATCTTATTTTATTCGCATTTTATCCGACGAAATTTTCCTCATCTTTTATTTAACCGTCTTTCGACAAATCTTTTTAGTGAGAATTTATTGCTCACTTCAGAGTGAGAATTTATTCAATGTGACCTCAATATTTCCGGAAATCACTTGTCGCTTCTTTTCCTTCTTCCCACGATTTACCAACTCTCGTCGTCAGATATTCCGGCAACGATTATTCCGTCAAGCTTCGCAATATCGTTCTTCTGCGTTCTCTCATTTCCTCCTATTTTTCTCATTCTTGCGACGTTTGAATTATTCAGACTCGCGCGCGCGCGATTGTTTCTCCGTTAATTATATTATCGCCAGTTGATATGCAACGTCCGTTCCGAAATTTTTCGAGCAAGATCCAAGTCTTCGCGAGAAGATACAGTAATAAGCGTACGGTATACTCGTAGTAGATGAAACGTCGAGGAACTCGAGTGCCATCGTTCGCCGCGAAGATCTCGACGCTTTCCAATATAGCCGTTTCGTCAACCGTGTTTCCGCGAAGTCGTCGACTCGATGATTATGTACTCCCGATTTCCGTGGAGCGGAGCTTCGCCAGAGTGCTCTCGTCCCTCTTCTTCTGCGCGTTCTCCCTTTTTACTCGCACATTGCGTCATTTATTGTATTTGTGTGTGTGTATGTGTGTGTGTATTTGTGCGAACGAGCCCCGCACTCATCGCGCCAATCCACGCGTGTGAGGTGAGGACTCGACACACGTGTGTGTACGTCGCGTAGGCGGACACACGATCGAAGACGCGCGTCAACGAAGGTAAATTTTCTCTCTTCGACGAATCCCTACGTGTCCCTTTTCTTCCGTTTGCTTTCCTCTCTTCTTGCCGTTTTCCTTCTCCTTTCAATCCTCACGCGCAATTCGTTTCAATACCGCGCTCGAGAGATCCGCTCGAGGATCAGTCACCGCGGGTGAATCCCTCGGTCTATTCTTTTTTCTGTTGACTTAACGGTAACACGAAGTGCTCTCTCTACCTAGAATAGCGCGAGCTGAATACACACACAGTGAAAAAGAGATGTATGAACTCGGATGGGATTATATTTTACCGCCTTTTCTTCGTGAAAACTTCCGAGTACACCGTTGGAGCGAGTTGAAGAAGATCTCGCACGAAGAAATGATCTCGCGGAAACAAAGCTTTTCCGCGAATGATAAACATTCCTCTCCAAAGTTCAGTGGCTGTGCTTGGCAATCGTGCCAGACGTGTGTTGTACAATTAGTCACGTCGCGCAGTCGGCCGGTCGTACGAAATAGACAATAGCCGTCGCGTCTGCCGAGGAGCAAGTTGTTGAAGAAACGAGACATGCGCGGCGAGAAAAACGAATTTTCGTTTTGTTACAAAATTCGACGCGTAAAAACCCCATTTTTCGTTTTATCGTCTCCGATCGCGAAACGATAGAGAGCTCGGGATTTCCACGCTCGTAAAATCAGAAGGGGGCTTGTGTCGAGATACATGTTTGATGACGCTAAACACGTGTTCCCATCTCCACCCTAGATTCTTCCGTTTCTCGAAATTCACCGACGTCAATGCGTTTCGAGTAACTCGTGAATTAGCGGTCGCTAGAGAAAGAGAAAAAGAGAGAGAGAGAGAGAGAGAGAGAGAGAGGTGATTCCGCCGATGATTACACAATAACTCGCACTTCTTACTTTACTTCCATCGCGGCGACGCGTTTTTCCTATTTATATCTTTAATATCCGGCTGTGCGATGCACAAACCCGAACATCTCTATGGACTCCGTATACTTGACACACATTTTAAAAATACATGCAGGTGTAAATTCGGGTTCCCGACGACGCGAATGCGTAATCCGCATTATTTAACGCGTTGCGCGCGTCCGTGATGAATGTATCGTATTTAAGAAAATTAACGCGATTGTGGAGTGACGGACTCGCAAAATATCGCGAATAGAACAAGTATTCGCGAAACAAAAAGCGTTTCGATCGTCTCTATTATTAGTTACGAACTATAGATAGAGACACACAACAATCGAAAACCCCGGTTTCGCGGCGACGGTTGCGTGCGCGCGGGCGAGAACATAATTGAAACAATAAATTATAAAAGAAACCTATCACGATCGCGCAGTCACGGCTCCTCTTCCGTTCTGTATTTGTGGAAGCTGGAATATTAAACCGGTCGGCGAAAAGTAAAGTCAATAAATCCACTTTAAGTCGATCCACGTCAATAATCCATTCGCGTGGGTACAAAAATATACATTGCAAATTCGAGGTATCAAAAATTGGCGTTGCAGAATTTACACAATCAGACGGGCATTAAACGTGCCGATTTGAAAGAATAAAAGTATCCAACATCGTATTCCGTTTTGCGTACGTATAAACACACACACACACACACACACATGATAAGTCGTACGAAGAAAATGCGATGTCGCAGATCGATCTCAACGATTCTCTCCCGCGCTTGTGTCGTCCCGGCGCGCAGGAATCTTCTTATTGCTCGCGAATGATTTTCGAGTCCTTGCCCCATAAATCATGAAGGAATGCGTTGTCATGCCGCGTCGAACAAACGCGATATACCAAATTCGCGGATATAATTGACGAGCACGACCTTGTCTCGAAACGCGAAAGAGATTTGGAAAAAGTCCATTTTTCTCGATTCGCATCGCGTGCGCGATAATATATTTTTGATAACGCGCAAAATCGTCGATTTAATCACAATTTTTATCTGAAAGTCTGTCTCTCCGCGTCTCTTTGTTGTGTCTGTGTGTGTGTGTGTGTGTGTGTGTGTCGCGTCGTGAAACTAAAAATAATCCGTAGCGCGTCTAATCGACTAATTGAACGTGGAACACCGGTACGGTGAATCCCATTCCGGATAAAGTCTTCCTCGAAGTCACCGTGACACGCGACAGGTCGATTCGCATAATGCGCTCGTTAAAAAAAGAAAAAAGTCACCGCGCGCCGTGTGTGTACGCGTTATACACACGTAAAAGCTTGTCCTGTAGCCGGCGTCTCTCTTGCCGTGTGCGAGATCTCCCGCACCCCTTTCAGCAGTCGGTGGTGTGTCCACGTCTGCGCGCCTCCCGGCCGGGGTCTATAAAAGCGACGTGGGGCGTCACGACGCTCCAGACGTTGAGATACGCGCAACACGGAAAATGTGAACCGAGCGTCGTCGTATTGATACCGAGGTCGCTATTTCTGTGCCTAGTCTCTTCTTCGCTTTCAAGTGACACCTGCTACGTAAGCCGAACTGTCAGCAAACGCAGTTGATAATATAATTTATCCAAAACGCGAGCTGAATTCGCGTTCGCGATATTTGCGCGACCAGCTGACATCATCACGCGTGTGCGCGGGACGTGTCGCGACACATGAAGATGTAGAAAGGGACCACGTCGCGATAATTGCAATTTAAATAAGCAAGACAGTGCATACGTACGCGCGTATTTTAATTGACACATATATTATCGACCGCGGTGTGTATCAGTCCGCGGTGAATTTCCCGGTCCTGTTCAAGCGGATTTCGCTGTCAAGGTACGTGTCTGTCAAATTGTCACACTATTAAACAATGATATAATAACAAACAAATATTCTGAATAAATTTCACAATTTGTTTTAATTTTTCACGATTTTTTTTCTAAAATTTTACTTTAATTCTCAGTACTTTCTGTAAATCTTGTTAATTTTCTGCTGGTTCTGTGTAAGTTAATTAATATTGTAATTACAAGAGAGAGGCACTCTCTCTCGTGCTCGCACATAGAGAACTTTGTAGTGGTTCAAAGTTTTGTCATTAATTAAGCGCGCGATATTCGTTTGAATTAGAAATTTCTTAATTACTTTCGCCATTGTGTCACGTTTGACGTATGCGAGGTCTTGTCAAATTCGTGTCTCGATATTACAACGTCGCGCGAGTACACGTAGTAAGGTCGTGATAAATTGTCAGCAAGTACCAACAAGAGAGTTAATATACCAGAACTGATAGCGCACCTTCATAAAGACCTAATGTTAACGAGTCAACACATACGGTTGAAAGCACGATCTCGACGACACTCGCATCGTGTCTAATCGCTCATTGTCGATCTCTATATACGCGTATCCGCTAAGCCGCCTCATTAAACGCACGACACGCACGTACGCGTGCCAAAGTATAACGCCGCTAACTTCTCTCTCTCTCTTTCTCTCTCTTTCCTTTTTGCGTGCGCGCGCGTATTAAAATAGAGTAGCCAGTAAACATAAATGCTAAATATACCTGCGTCTCTGAAGCTTGTCAGAATTAACCGGACCGAACCGGTGGCTAATGCGAGAAAAATAGCGATGACACAAAACAATGAAACGAAATATAGAAAAACGAGAGATGCACAAACCTCTCTCTCACGCGGAATATAAATTTGCATTGCGAGCGATCAATTTATGCAAAAACAATGGTCGCGCACACACACACGAGCGGATCGAGTGCGCGCGCTTCATTAAGTAATTAAAACGCGGAAGAGCTCTGGCGCGCGCCGCCGTCCACAGTTCGTCTCGATGTGACGCGCGTTGTCACATCATCGAGATATACACGCGCGATTAAACCGCCCACGAAATGAACCTCCCCCCGTGTCTCGGCTTATATTACATTTGTTTCGTCAAATGACGACATTTACGCCGCGGTTTAGATCTTTCGGAAATTTATGGAACGACCGGAGAGGATAGACGCGTTTCGCGGCGAACGAATGCGCGTTTGTTTTTTTTTTTTTTTTTTCGTAAACTCTTTCGGAAACGTTAATTAATTACCGTTGGATAACAAGTTAGATCGCTTGAAAATCCCTAGAAACAACTGATGACAGTCTTTGAGACGCCTCTCTAATGTTCTTTTTCTGAAAAATGTAGATGTTTTTAACATAACTTCTATTTTCAATCCGTCCTCAATTTTCTTGATTTGCTTACATTCTATTTTAATGTCTCCGCGCGAATATATATTGGTCTCTTAAAATGAAAAACAGTATACACAGAGACAATATAAAAAAGAAGAAGAAACGGAATCATCTTCCGCTTGTCTTTTGCAACACACTTGATATCACTTCTCACGATTGCGAGAGATTGGACAACAGATTGACGAATGTCTGTGTGCAACGCGGTAATATCGTTACGAAATACGCATAAAACCCCGGAAGGGATTTTCGGGAGTTCGGCGCCGTCCAGGCTCGCTGTGTCGGGCGAAGCGTGAGCGAGGTCCTTGCTATTGATCTAGTGCGAGGGTCTAAACGTCCTGGGTTTTCCCGGCCACCTTCTAGCTCTCTCTCTTCCTCTCTCTCCCTCTCTCTCTCTCTGTTTGCTGCAACAGCGCAGCTCTTTGCAACCGTGAACGACGGAGAAATCGCGAAGTGGCGTGCGCATTAAATCCGGGGATGGACGAGGGTATCGCCATCCCCGTTGTGGCGACGTTCCAAAAGCTCTCCCGCCCGTATAGCGCGCGGCGCCGACCAAATTATCGATTCCGCGAGATGCGCGATCGTAAATTCGACCGGGAGAAACATAACAGTCGATCACGTTTACACACGAGGCAGCAGATGCGCGTCGCGCGGCGCGAGAGCTGTGACGCACGTGCGAGAGTTCGGCAGATGAAGAAACGGGACTCGTGTCTAAAAGCGCGTGAGAACTATCATTAGATAGGGCAGATCGATGTCTGCCTAATGTATCTGCGTTATGTAACGTATGTATTTTTCGCATGTTGATTCACGCGGAACGACGAAGCTTCGATTCAGTTTTCAATTTCAATCCTATTTTTTCTTTCTCACTTTTCATTAAAAAAAAAAAAAAAAAAAGAGAAAACAACAGCGCAGTTTTATTGATTGAGAAGTGTTGCGCCATGTGTGACATTTTTTTTAACGACTTTGTCATGCGACCAAGCTGGTAATATCAAGTACACGTGTTTGCGATATATCATATTCCGCGATTGATCTCTCTCTCTCTCTCTTTCTCTCTCTCTCTCTCTCTCTCTTTCTCTCTGTTCACGTGTTGCTATTTACGAACTGGGACGCGCGTTACACGGTCTCGGAACGGAAGGTGTGAATATTATCTTTTTTTTTTGTTTTTCAAAAAAAAAAAAGCGTGGGAACGGAGAGATCCTGAATAACGCAGCGTGCGTTCATCGCGTTGACGATCGCGAGTGGGCGTTGAATACGATATACTATATTCATTGTCCTCGGCGAGACAGCGATGATATTTCTTGGACAAAGCGTTGCTCAAGTATGAAATCACCGTTGACGTTTTTTCCGACAGATGAAATTCTAATTTCCGCACTCGACGTGGGAGGAAACGTCTACACAAAACGAGAACGGCGTAGACCACGAGGCAGCCGCGCCTCGGCTTTTGTTTCGCATTTATATGAAACAAAAGCAGCGCTTCTAACGCGTCATCGCGATAAAATAGATTAAAGTTAATTCAATGACTCATTTGCAAGTCAAAACCGAAAATAAAAAAAGCTCAAAACCGTGACTGACCCGTGTGTTTTCTTTCTTGTTTGTTGCAGATGAAGCTACACGAGAAAAAAGAATCGGGCATCCACAAGGTGCAGGAGGTGCCTCTCGAGGAACTTGATCTGGCGAAGGAGTACAACGTGGAGAAAACTCTGGGCGAGGGTAGTTTCGCGAAGGTCTTATTGGCGACGCACAGAGCGAGCCAGACGAGAGTGGTCTTGAAGGCCGTTCATCAAGAACTCACGTCGGAAAAGGACTTTTTCCGCGAGTTTCATTACTCGTATCATCTGAGCCCGCATCCCAATATACTCTGTTCGTACGCGGTCGCCTTCAAGGCGGAGAAATGTTTCGTTTTCGCGCAGGAATACGCGCCGTACGGCGATCTCGCGGGCAACGTGAAAGCCGGCGGACTGAGCGAGGACGCCTGCAAGAGAATCGCCGGCCAGCTCGCCTCGGCCCTCGATTTCATCCACTCGAAGCAGCTGGCTCATCGAGACATCAAGCTCGAGAACGTGCTGGTGTTCGAGCAGGATATGAGCAAGGTGAAGCTCTGCGATTTCGGTTGCACGAGACGCGAAGGCACCTTAGTCAACAAGATCCGTTGCATTTGGGTGCCTTTTCAACCGCCCGAAATACACGAGGTCATCAAGAACGAGAGGTACGCGTGCAAGAGGAGCTCCGACTGCTGGCAATTCGGAATCGTTCTGTTTGTCTGTCTGACCGGCAACCCGCCGTGGCAGAGCGCCGACCCGATCCAAGACCCGGACTACTCGGCCTTTCAGCGATGGCTGAAGAGACGCACCACCAAGATCCCGCCTACTTTCCGACGATTCACACCCAGACTGTTGCGATACTTCAGGCGAGCGTTCGAGCATAAACCGGAGAAGAGGCCGCACGTAACCGAGATCAATAAGTATCTGAAGGACTCGTGGTGCATCAGCAAGATCAGTCACAGCGCGACGTCAACGTCGGTCGACGTCAGCGAGAGCCTCAACAGACGAGCGGACAGCCTACTCTACCTCGACACAATCCTGGACGACCGGAACAACATGGACGAGAACAAGAACAAGCTGAGGAAACTTCTCAACAGCTACGGCCTGGAAACCACGGTAGATCAGAAGGTGGTCACCAAAAGAATATGGGAGTGGGTGATGCAGTGCGACTCTAACATCGACATGGAGCCTGGCCTCATCAGTGGCTTCAGTACGGAGGATATGTGAGAGCTAGCGAAGTCCTGCAGCGAGCCATGCCTTCGAGCTGCCCACGAGGAATCGAACAAGTTCCGCATAGGCAGCTTCCACGTGTCGACCTCATACAGATGTGCCAAATAATAACACAATCGGAGCGGAGAAACACTTCCACGAAGAACCCCGAAGAGAAGAATTTAACGAGAAGAAATCACGGCCCTTATTCTCCGGTGACGTTCCAGAAAAAAATGTCGAAATGTTAGACACGGGCGGACCAATTATTGATGAACTTCCTTAATTAAGTAAGAAACGCGAGCGAGTTTGAGAGATAACGAATGATAATTGCAATCGTGTTGACAAATATGAAACGACGATTTTCTCGTAATTCCAAAAAAAAAGTAGAAACTTGGAAACATAAAAGCGTTCAAAAGACGTAACAAAAAAAAAAAAAGAAAACTAAATAGATAAACTGTCTAAACTACAATTCTAGTCAAAACCTCTTCTCGATCTTCAACGTCTTTTGAATTTTTGTGTTTCGGGACTTCGAACAAAAAACTAAATGTCTCTCTCGCGATATGTAAGTTATTCCTAGCGATTAAGTGTAAATGTGATATATACGTAATTTGTAAGTAGGAAAAAGAGAGAATCGCTATTCGACAGAAACAAGAGTGGTGTCAAGCTGTGGATTAGCTTGGTGTACTAACTGTAGAGACAATAATGCCGGTGCATAGAATTTCCGTGCTAGTCAGTTTGTCCTGATAAACCGATGGTCTTAGTAATGCCTTAAATAAGCGTCTGGGCGCGAAGGGGGATTAGACAGTCACTTTAGAGAGAAACATTTTCTATGTCAAATATGATCTGAGTTCTTTTTTCCGTTCAAACGAATTATAAGTATAGCGGGAAACAAAATGTAATACCTATCGTTATAGGCGAGACGTAAAGCAAGAAGACTGTAAAACTAGAGAGATTCTCCAACCGGAGATCGTATCTTTAAGCGTAGCGTATATAGAGCGTATCGTGGAAACGTTTTTCGGAAACAATCCATTATCTGGCAATTTGCCCCAAGAGTTTCAATTTTCAAAGTGAAAATTTTGATTTCATACGAATTTAATTGGAACTTAAATCAGAAAGTTATAACTACGTTCGAAAAGTCGATCGCGAAAAGGTGGATGGTTACCGGAAATGTGCGTGTCAAGATGTGTTGTATACATACAGATGTAAATAAAGTAAATATTTGTACACATAAACAGATAAATAAATATATATATATACCTACACACATTCGTGCTAGACGTGTACATAAGCGTAATTTGCGTGTGTACGTATGTACGTAGGCAGAAATAGTACACATATATATTCTTGTAGCAGTTTATGGTGTAGCAAGTAGCGGTAGGTTTCGTTTGTACAATTAGTTACGCCACTTTGTAACGGGAGTAATATAGTTCGTAGCGTAACGATTATTGCATGCGCGTTTGCGATTCCAACAGTCTCTCGTAATAAGTCTCTCTTTCGCGAAACAATCCTCACATTAAAGCATTCACGGATAACGATATTTACGTGAACGAATTGACGTTTCGCGATGGGGAAATTCTCTTCTCGTTGCGAAATTTACGCTTGCATTAGGTAATTTGCGCAGTTTTTTTTTTTTTTAGTTATTATTATTCGCGTAAGTTAACGTAATCAAAGATCGGACGTGATTTAATTACAATCATAATAATTTCGCGATACGACGATGAGTTAGCGATCTCTTCAACATTTCGTAGAAACGAGGAAAAAATTCACTTCTTCGCGAGAATTTATCGCGTTTTCAACTCTGCTCCGCGAGAGTAGCAGAGATTATTTTCGCGTGTCTGCGAAATGGAAATACGCGTGAGAAGAAGAGTTGTTTCAGAGTTTCTGTTCTTCGTCGTGCGCGATTAAGATCGATCGAACCGCACTTCGCACTTCGCGAACGAAATTGCGTTGAAAAACAAAAATTATAAGACTGACTTCTGGATAATTTCTGATTTGTTTGGGAAAATAGAAAAACATCATTGATTTTATTTGCCTACATATGCGATTTGACATAAGATCGCCTTCAGTGAAAAAGTCTACCGTATGCACGCGAAAAAAATCTATTTCTTCTAAAGATGATCGTTATCCGAACGAGCTACTCGTTCGAGAATTAATGTGAAGAACGCATTTAGATATATACACACACACACACACACACACACACGTTCACAGAAGAGAATGTATGTTTTTGTACAATTTAAACAAAAACATTTGGAAGCGCACGTGTACAACAATTACGACACCTCGTTCTCCGACATAACATTCGGACAATCATTACCACCGTCTTACACGCGCTATTTCTCCGAATAAAATTATCCGAGCGAACTCTTGTGAGAGTGTGCAAGGTGTGAAAACGTGAGAGACTTTTGCGAAGAAGCCGACACGCGTGTGAAGGCTTCCACCGAACGCAAAGCAATGTTTTGTACATATATTACTAATTGGAATTACTCTGGAAATTATATAAAATTGACACAACGTACGGAGTTCTAATTGTCTTTTTTTTTCTCCCATTCCCTCCTGTCAAAAAAACTCCAGAATTTTTAATGTCATTGCGCTGTAAAAAATATATCGTGCAAATTTTTTTCAATTAAATCGCGCGCCTTTTGGCAAAAGTGTAAATGTGATCGCACCGCTTAATTAGGGCGCGCGCGGCTTGGATTTTTTTTGACTTGTAACACCTACACGGCCCACGCCCGCGACTATACACCGTGGGACGAGGTGGTTAGCTATCGCTCGGTTGTCGCCATGACAACGAACCCTGGATACCCGGGCCGGCTGAAAGCCACCCTCGTCCTCCCGGAATCACCCCCATCGAAGCAAATAGATGCGCGATGTAACAGACGCCGACTGTTACGTAACATACGTAGCGCGACTTGTAAAAAATAGTGGGGACCGAATCTCAAAGTCACGCTGTTTACAGAAATTATTAAAAAAAAAAGAGAGACGACGTGTATACGCAATATTGTGTAATATTGTGTAATATAGTCGCGCATTTTTCACAAACATTATTAAATTCTATGTATAAAAAAGTTATTTACCGCTAAGATCGTGCGAACTTGACTATCATCCCACACCCCCCACGTGCGCTTTTGCGCGCAAAGGAATCGCAAGATAAATAATTTCTGTTCTTGTGCGTTTACGGCAGAAAACTCGAAGGACGGTGTAAATTTCCAGATCGCGAACGGTTTGCGTTTACGTAAATGTCAAAACGAACATCGTCCGGTGTTCGCGACCGCTCCGCACGAGCATGCGCGTCATTAGCGAGGTCATTAGTCAACTCTAATTACAAGAAAATCCCGCTCGACCTTGCTCTGGTGGGGATAAGTGCACGCGACTACGGGATTTCAGCCTTTGTAGTAGTTTTTTTTTTCCTCTTCGCGAGAATAGTCAAGGGTCTTGTGTGAAGGTCCATCTCGCCAGATTGCGAGAGGCAGCCTAATTACTCCCGCAATCTGGAGAGCACTTTGAACTTTTCCCAGCACGTAATACATACACAAGAGTACGTACACGTACGTCTCAGAGTCCTTTGGCTTTAGATAATTTCATCGGTATGTTCTTGCGAGAGAAGATTGTTTTCTTCTGTGAGAAAAAAAATATTTTGAGTATTAAAATACGACATTATCTAAATATTGATTGTCGCCTTCTTTCTAATTGTCACGTTACATCCAACCTGTCATCAAATACATTTGCACATTTATCTTGCAACGGTCGATGAGAACGTCTGAGAGACGTCGGTTGCTCCCCAGAGTGCCAAGATAAATTCATTCGTCGTACGAAACGTCCTGATATATTCGTTGACACATGTGAGTGCACACATATAACGCTTCAAAAAATATTTCATATATATAATATACACACTTGCGTGTGTGCATATAAAATATATATGTATGTATAAGATTTGACAACTTATTTAATCTTAACTAAAAGCCGACCTATACAAGAGTTGTGACACATCCTCGGCCTACTTTCCAGTTACTTCATTATATATTTTGTGTATTCCAATTCCGACACTTCGAGTCTCCGCAAATACATTCGTACGCACAAAATGTACGCGCGAATGTACAGTACAGACCCATTGCCGCGTGATGACATAATCGAAAAGATTTTACAACCTAACACAAAACTATTCTGAGAATGTGACATTTCCTTTTTATGAAAGACTTCGTTTAAAAATAATTCCTTTATTTTTTTCTCCTTGTTTTACCGCGCTGGTTTTTCACACTCTGTGTTGTTCTCTCTTTTCTTCTTCTTCCCTCGTTTTTTTTCTCTCTCCGCCTTTTTTTTTGTCTCGCGCGCAATTTTCGTTTTGCGAGCAACACGCACCGAGTGTTCGAGGTCGTTAGTTACGCCACCGGGTGCATCAAACGAACGTCTCGACGCGCACCCGCGTTCCATCATCTTCCTTCCGATGCGCGCGTATTTCGGCAACCGGTGCGCCGCTATTTCCATCCACGTGGCGAGTATTCTCGGCCGCTTGTTTTGACAAGCGCCAACCAACTGGATACTTGACGGGAACGTTATCTTCGCAAAGCGGAAATCAAGTGCGTACGCGTGTATTCGCGAAGCGTTTAAACGTATCGATAACACAACAATGTAACGTGAAAGAATCGAGCGAGCTCGCACGTGTCAAATTTGCAAGAATCGATGAGAACAAAGTGTCTCATATTATGACTTAACTTTGATATATTTGTGTGATTGTTTTCGCAACGACGAAGTGAGAGAAATAAAAAATTAGAAAATTGAACTAATAAAATCCAGTAATTTCTGTTGAAACGAAAATGACCAGGCAAAAACCGTACTTCATCTAACATTTATTTGACAGATAATAAAAACTGGATAAAATTGAATTCGCAGAGAATGTTTTTTAAAAATGCAAATTCTTTTTTTATCGAGACTCCGCTTGATATTTCACATAAAGGTAAAAAAAAAAAAGCAAATATAGAATTGCAGAGATCTGAAATTTTTCTCTGCCAATATCGAACTGTGTGAAATCCTGAGAGATATTGGGAGATAACGTGAGTTAGCGTGTTTGGACGCGGCCACACGTGCAGACGCGCTGTCTCGACCAAGTCGCGTAACGCGGTTACTTGACGAAAAATAAAATCGGGCAAGCCGCCACCGGGGACGAGTATTCGCCATCGATCCTCCGGTCCAACGCCCCGGGGTATCTATTTTCATTCCCGCCTAACCTATTTATACATCATCATACGAACACGTTTCTTCCACTCGTATCGACGCATTGGTTGCACCGACACTTTTTAACACCTCAATCTTTTCAGATCCAAGTGAGAGAGAGAGAGAGAGAGAAAGAGACAAACATCTGAGTCTTCTCGAGACTCGTTTTCAGAAACTTCAAAAGCTTTTTTTCTTGAAATGAACTTTATTATATATTTTCGGATATAAATCTATTTTGACGTGAATGCGCTCATCGTTTCCACGAAAAAAGCAGAATTGCAAAATAAAAAATATATTTTATAAAATCACGAGAATTTTCTTCTTTTCGATATCGGACAGAGCGTTTTTGTTAGAAATCGTTTTTTTTTTTAGAATTTTCTATTTATTTCCTTCCAATTAAATTTTGTTACTTTTTTTGTAATTTAACCGGATCGCGTGACGATATATTTTCGCAGCAAAATATAAATTACAGTTAAAAAAACCCGCGCGCAAAATATATATATATATATATATATATATATTATGTTTATATATAAAATATGTGTGTTACACGTATATGTATCTATTTCTTTTTCTTGAAATAAATTTCCTAATTCGATTTAATCCCTCGATTTTTTCAGAGCTTTCATCTGTCTCCCTTTTGGTTTACTTATCGTTTCGCGTGGGTGTGCGGATTTACGACGAAGTCACCCGCCGCATTTCGACGATGGGGGTTCTGTGTTCGCTTTTACGACGTTGCATGATTGCCCTCTGACGTCAAAGAAGACGCTCCCCCCGGCGCGTGTACGTACGCGAGAAGGGTATCGCCACGAGAGAGACAGGACTAAAGGTCGTTCGCCCCGTCATCGGGTTCAAGCGCCTTCCTCGGCGGATGCTCTACCTATAAAAACGCAGCCGATGATAAGGACGACGACGAGGATGCGCGCGATTGCGCGCTGAAGGCATCGCGACGGGGCATCTCTTGTTATTAAACGTCGCAAATAAAAACGCCACCGTCCATCTCTCGGATGCAACGGGAAAGGGGAAGATAACTAGTTTTCTTAATTTGTTATTAACCGGCGCTAGTAAAAACGTGCCGCTTCGGTTTTACCCTTAATCTCACGCCGATCTCAAATCCGAGCGCTCGCACCGAGAGATATTCTCGGAATCGGCGACACAGATGCGCGCACACACACACACGTACGTTAGTTAAGAATATCAGCACTATTTCCACGCTTGTCGATAAGTTTAGCGCGAAAGTTGCATTGAGAAGAATATAAATTGACAAGCTTTCCGAGTTTAAATGCTTTCATTTACGATACCGTCATTTACAAATTCTGAACGTTCGTTCTATTATTAATATAGTAATGGGTCACACAAAGTATAACATTGTAGTTTTACATGTTTATAGAAATTTGGAAATAACCTACTGATCAAATTTGAAATTAATCGTTTCCTTAACAAAAAAAATGTTGGAACATACTTGAGTAATTTTTTTTATTTTTAATTAATTTTGAAAATAAGAAACGTAAAGAAAAATCGCACACCGAGTGAGAGAGGGTCAAGTTTTTCAATTATTATCTTTACAGAAGCTCTTTAAAAAAAGAGAGAGAGAGATTTGAAAAAAAAAACAAACATAATTGTAATTGAAAAAAGTAATTGAATTGGTCAAGGAAGTTGTGTTAAGTAAAGAAACCTATTTACGCGATAACAGAGAACGTTAGAGACCGTATCACTCTCTTTCAAGCATCATCTCTCTGTGAATGTCTGTCTCGTGTCACAGAGGGGGAATTTATAAAAGATAATCATAAATTCCGCCACAATAGCTCTCACAATAAAACACACGCGACGAACTAAAAAAAGAAAAAAAAACAAATTCGCAATTCCCGCCGCGACGGTTCATTATCGTTATTGTATCTCTTTCTTTTTTTTTTCTCACCCTCGGAATAATATAAGTAGCAGATGTTCGTTTCAGAAATAATAAATATAGACGACGGGGCGCGTGTCTATTTCTGGCCGGGGGTTAATATTTGACGACGACAGAGTTGCCGCCGGTGTATCTAAAAATACACAATCAATACACGAAGTATACGTCAAGTCTGCACGCGCTCACGTACTTACGGTACGTACGTACGTGTGTATGTGCACGCGGGTACACGCTACTTCAGAATTATCAACCCTCCTGTCAAAGAATTAATTTTGCATGAACACGCACACGTAAAGTTTCCAACGTTGGTTCGCGTAATAATTAAAACACTCATGTGTCATGTAACACGACGATAATATGTTATCTAACGGCAAATAAAGCGAAATCCACTAAAGTGTGAGCAATGTGACACAGTAATTGAGGACAGGTCTATTCTTTACACTTAATTAACTTCGATAATTAAAATTCGCCGTAATTATCTCAACGTACTACCGCAACAGATAATAACACGGATGACATAATGTGGAACTGATTTGCATAATTTTAATGAACAAAATCACACGTGTGTGTTTTTTTTTTAAATACAACAGAGAATGTTATTTACATCTTCGAATATGAAAAATATTTGTCACGACATTTTTGTCACATCGCGCACGATTTATCTAAGCGGCCTGGGGGGCCGCGAAACTGGAGAAGTTCAAATTCGCTCGACATCTTAGAATTCTTTCCAAGCCGGCCCGTTTATTTCCCGATTTAAAAACGAACTAAATTCCCAGTAATTAATTCGAGTAAAATCTCGGATGAAATTAATTCTTTTCCGAACTTAGTCGTCAGGAAAAATCAGTTCTCGTCAGATCGCCGAAGTTAAAGAGCGTGAACGCGAACCTGACGTAGATATATCGAAAATATACTAAGATAACCATTCGATTTTTGATCGTCTTCTTTTATACTATAAACTTCTTGAGACTGCGCACACGTGCGGTAATAAAAACAACGTAGAAATGTAAGAGCTTTTGTTCTCATTTTTTATGTGTTTTTTATTTTCACTCATCAAAAGTTAAGTGTTCCGAAATCTACGACGGAAAAAATCTCGGATATATATCGACTTTGAGGTATACTGAAAAAAAAAAACAACGGCCGTGTATTGTTTGGGGAACAAAACTACCGCACAGAAGTAATTACAGATCGCTATCAAAAAGGAACAGGATGATATAAGAAAAAAAAAAAGATAACACACACATATTGCCGACAAAACTGTGTGCAGGTGGCTAAAAACAGTGTAAGAAAAAATACACGATTTATTCATTCTGTGTACGGAATATTCCACAACGCGCATATACGCATTCTGGATCCGATGTAATGTCGCGCGAGAAAACGCACGTGTGTATGTCAAGTGAACCATTGCGTGCGTAAAACGTGCGCTTGTACGAGAGAATTAATAGCTTTTTCGCGAAACACCAAGTCCGCGCGGTTCTTAAATTTCCCGGCTGTAAACTATTTGACGACAGCGTGTACGGCTCGAGTTGACCATTAAAAACGTCCGTGGCAAGAAAACCAGACGAATAAAAACCGAAATGCCGCAAAAGAAAGACGACTTTATAAACTTCGCGCGATGGCAGTTTCGCAGTTTCGCGCGCGCGAAAAAGATTCTGCGCAGAAACTAATATTAGCCTAATGAAATCTTACGAGAGAAAACGTTGTGAAACGCGGAGGTTTACAACAAACAGTGACCATATAAACAACACGGAAACGATTGCCGCGTCGCGATTGTGGCAATTTAATTTTCAAATTTGAGAAAATTTATCGCAATTTGACGTGTAACAGTACCTCGTATCATTTCACTCGCAATACCGTTGCGTAATCGGTTTAAAACTGTTATTTATTCTCGCAATATTGTTATTGCGAAATCTATCCGAAATTGTTTATTTTTTTTTTCTACGTAAACGTTTACGTTGGCGCGCGCGTAAAACAAAGCAAGTGTTACACGTCAACTCACACGCCGCGTAATCGAATGTCTGTACGTATGCTTGTACAAAATGCTTCCGGAGGCTCCTATTTATTGATCGCGGCCGTGAACTCTGGAAAAGACCATGACTGTGTTCCCGACTAAAGAAAATCGATATGCATCACGAGCGCAGCCTCATTTGCTGCAAAACAAAAGCTATCGCTAATACCGAGATGTATCATAGTGACGTCAGAATCGTCATGGCAACTCCCTTTAACGTACATCTACGCCGTACGATTGTGTTGAAGTTAATTCAACAAAAACATCACGAAACTCTCCCTCTTTCTTTTTGGAAAATATTTTTACTTGGCCCATCGTACACGTGTAAAACAAATAAGAGACAAACTCACGGTTACAAAACACATGAAAAAATAAAAATGTATATTTATGTACAGTTCTTACATAAAGTTTTAAAAAGAGACACGTTTCTATTTTCTAAAATAAAAATAAAAATATTACGGTATAAAAAAAATCGTCCCATCCGTCATACTTTTGAGAAAGTACGCATGTATAATGTCAGTTTTTCAATTTAAAATTAAAGTTAATCATTAAATTACTCTAATTTAATTAAAATTAATGTAAAAAATTATATATATATAAAAACTTAATTTTAAAGTATATTAATTTCTTTTAAATTAAACTTCAATCTCGTATTTTGCACGGAGTTATATCTTTAAACACCAGAAGACTGGCATACGAATAGATTGTTGAAGACATTTTGTCTCAAAAAACTCAACTCAACTCTTAAGAAACCATGTCAAGTTGAAACATGTCAAAAGAATTTACATTACTTACATGTGTTCATTCATATTCAAATGAAACATGTCAGAATTGACAATATATTTTACAACATATGTTCACGTTATATTTAGTAAGAGAAACGTAAAACTAAAAGTAAGTTAGTATGAAATCATCTTTTCATTCAGAAACAGAATCTGAACCAGACTCATTGGTAAATGTTGTCCATAACTTCTCAAATTCTTTTACAAATGGATTGAGTATTAGTGGTTCATTAGTTATGATCATGTTCTCAAAGTTTCCAAAGAATGCCGTATTGGTCCAGTTTATACTGCCATTTATTAAAATTTCATTGTCAATAATGACAAACTTATGATGCATTAGGACATTTAGATTCTTTAGCATTGGCCTAATACCTGCAAGCAAGAATATCAATATTTACCAAATCGTGTAAAATGCTAATATTTTACACAATTATTTGTACCTTCTTTTATGAAATACATGATCTGAGCTCCACTATGAGATAAAAAAGAGTGGTCTGATATTATTCTTACAACAACGCCTCTGTGTTTGGCTCTTACAACTGCTTCTGCTAATTTGGAAGTTGTAAAAAAATACATACATATATCCAAGGTACTTTGTGCAGAATCTAAATATTCTATGATCTTCCTGAAAATGTACCAAACATTAGAACTATGTAACTATCATAGCTACTTGGCTTACGTAGCAGAAAACATATTTGTATGTACACATCATAACAAGTTACTTTATATATCCTATTGGACAATTTTCCTTTTGACATGGTTTGAAGGACGCTAAATGGTTCCGACACAGAGCGGATTCCTTGGAATAAAACGTAACCTCGAATATTTGTTCTGTGTCTTTGTGCAATAATTGTTTTCTACATTTGTTCTTATTACTTCCTTTCTGATAACGATATAATTTATACAGCTGCCAAATTATTTCGCTTATAACAGCACCAGAAGTAATCACAATAAGAACTTTCCTCATGTTGAAATTTGAAAAAATTTTGGAAAATAAACCAACAACTTTGTTATTGAAACGTTGATTTATCGATCGAACATATTTCGCGGCCACAAGCTAGAGTTAGGTTAGGTTATCTGTTATTGCTTTTCCGTTCTGTTCGCCAGCGCTATGCTCACGGCGGTGCACATCAACAACTACGTACCCATGTTTACGAGCGTTTGTCGGTACGTACGCACGTCTGTGGTTTTTTTCTGGGCTATGTGGCCGCTCTCAGATCGCATTTAAATAAGTTTTTCCATTTTTTATATTTACGCGAACATAAGTTTGTCATTTTTATGTTCATATTAGTTTATATAGGGTAAGTTCAAAGGGAGTTATTTTATAAAGTAGATTTTATATCAAATTTGTTGATAAAATATGTCAAAAAAATATAAAAGAAAAATTTAAAGAATTCAGAAAGACCTCACGAGAGAATTCTTCGAAGAATTTACAAAATTCAAAGAATATGTTAGAAAAGTTTAAAAGACCTAAAAACAAGTCCACAAAGTCGAGAGATAATGTAAAATATTAAATAGTAAATACATATATTTTTAATGTACATGTCACAAAATTAAAAAGTGAGAAAAATATTATTAATAAAAACATCATAATATAAAATGTCAAATTCATATATATACCACTACCACATTTATATAAAGATAGCGAATAAAGAAAATCATTCTAAAATGTATGATTGCCTTTATTTTTACGCTATTGGAAATCAGTGCGACAAGTATAAGCGAACACTACGCATGCAATGTACAAATTGTTTCTTTCAGCTTTATTCAATACAAATACATATATTTTTGTATTAATTGCATATCTAAAGTCGTCTTTTTATCGATTTAGTATTAATAAAAGTAATAAAATCTTTTTTAAAAATAAGTTAATGTCTATTACAAATATAATTTAACTCTAGAAAATTGTAAAATCACTACGCATACTATATAAAAAAAGTTAAAAAACTTTTAGCTGAAAGAAACAATGAAAATTGATATAGTAACTCATAATTGTGCGGTCCCTTCGTCGTCCATCGATGTACCTTCCTCTCCGACCCTCTCTGACCCTCTCCATGTTCCTCTCCGACCTTCAGTCCTTCGTGGAAGCGGTCCAACAGATTTTGCGTCGTCCTGAGTTGTCGTAGCACTTTTTATCACTCGCGACGCGGAAGACGCGAAATATACTCAACACACACGCGAAATTTAAATTTAATACAGTTCAAAGTCTATACTTTTTCAAAGTCTACACTTTAATCACTACCGAATTTTTTACAACTCGAAATAAAAATGGAAAATGAATTTTTCACTTAAAGAAATTTTCGAATATGTGAAATTATCGCGCATTTCTCTAAAAAAATTCGAATAACAAATATTTATTATATCGGAACGAATGTTTCGGTTTATTTTCATGTATGATCCATTACTTGCTTAATATTGTTACGCAAGTAGTCTTGTATTGATTCCGCAGTATATTACTGCGAAGATTTCTCGCAGTTTTGCAAGAATTATTTTGCCTTTTCAAGCAAGGCATGTTACTTTGTGCGAATCGTAAAACGTTCGTGATTCTATATAATACGCGTGTAACTTCAAAATCGCGAATTTAAACAGAAAAACCCGATTTAACTATCACGAATACGTATATTCCTACATTTGAGTAGTCGACAAAAATCTCGTACAGATACTAATTAGATTTCAATAAATAAAAAACGAAATATCTTTAATGTTATTTTTCTTTCTCTTTCTCGCGACTTTAGAAAATACAAATATGATTAATCTTTTGCGATATTCAAACATAATAAAATAAACAAACCGTAAAAATTATAAAAAAATACTGCGGAAATAAAATAAAATAGTCAAATAAACAAAGTGACTCTATTTTACAGAATAATCGCGATTTTAATCTATCAAAGGCGCAGACAGAGCAGACAAAAATTCCGCTTTGATGGAAATTGAAACATTGAGCAAACAAACAATTTACAAAAATATCATTTTATCACATTTTATAAAAATATCAAATAATCTATATTTTATTATGTAAAATCATATTATAGTGATATATGACTCAAAATTTTTAAAACCAATATCAATTTCTCGTTTCTTTTGACTGTTTATACAAAAATTCTTGCATAATTGTTACTATATCTTATTACTGTTAAAAAAGACTCATGATTTTTACTTCAAAAAATAAATTTACAACATAATTGCATATATATCACTACAGAATATATTCAAATTGTGTGCTCGATGTTTCAAACCTCGTAAACGCGCGTTTCGCACTGATTTCAAATTACCATCACCACAACCCTAAAGTTTACTCACCGAGCACTGGTCACCTTCTGCATACGTAACTCTGTAACAAAAAGAAAATTTTTTTTTTATTGTCAGATGTAAGATAAGTTTTTAACGTTTATTTAAATATCAAAGTACTTATGGCTTTAATAGATAAGTAAGAATTCCAAAATTTTATACAAAAAAATGTATTTAACAGTTATAAATATAAAAATGATGTAAAAACAACATACCTTTGTGCCAGCATCCTATTGCCTGAATAAGCTTCTCTGGTCCGCAAGACAAGCACCTCTCCTCAACGTAAACACTGCGTCCTGAACACTAAAAAAGCAAAAGAAAATTAATAAAATTAACTATGAGAGAGAGAGAGAGATAATTAAACTTTTAAATAAGTTAAACATAGTTGCAGTTTTCAAACAAAATGTGTTTTGAACTTGCAAATACGACACTGACCTTCAGATCGCCTTCAAAATAGTCCGGAGATTGCCTAATCGTAATGCTCGCCGATTATCACTTGCGATACGAATTATATATCAAGGCGTACATCCGTTACTTTGCGACATACCGAACTACTGATATTCGCGCGCGAGATGATAATAAACGCGAGAAATAAACGAAACAATTCGAACGTACTTGCGCTTCGTGTTGCGCGCTGGCCATTTTGTGTGTCGCGAAAACGCGAACGCCGCGAAACAACTTCACCGTCAAACACGTTATCTGTATCGTTTTCGACGCGTGTGTGACACTAATTACGTATTATTTCGAACGCCCGACACTTTGTGGCACACGCACATTACTGATAGTTACGTGCGAGACGACAACAATTGCGAAAAATAATCTGATTTCAACGAAAACTACCGCTCCGCGTCGCGCGTCCACTACGTCTGCCGGAGCCGGAACGAATGTATCGAAGCGCGATATTGCGATTCTCGAAGTATCGAATCGAACGCGCGCGCGATAGTTCGCGATATTCACCGCGCTAACCTTACACTTGTAGAAACGTATAATGATTGAAACATACAATGATGATTATTTAACATTAATAAAAGCAATTTATACTATCTACAACTTTTACAATGTTATAAAATTTCTGTCATTTATATCTCTAATATGTGTAAATGTAAATAAGTACTTTTGTTTGACTTATTTTCTTTTTCCGTGATAAACTTTTGTTGTGTAATATAGATTGTAATTTTCTATTATATTTTAACTTTATTCTGATTTTAGTTAAAAGATCCGAGAATAACGGAAAACATTTTTCTCTCTTCGCGACCGAATATAAGTTATAGAAAATACATTTCTAATAAAAACGTTTTTAAGAAAAACGATTTTTCGAGCATCCAAACAACAATGCAAACTCGCCGTTGAGAAAAACATTTCGGCTGTTGAATATAATATATCAATACACTCTACTACTTATATTTTTCACATTGTGTGTTAAAATGTAAGAAAATGTATTACTTTATTCTGATTTTTCTTTGCTAGTAGTAAAAGCAATCGCGTAGTAGGAAAACAAGCGGTTTCTCTCTCGAGTATGAAAACAAAAAAACCTCACCGTTGTGTAGAAACATCTACAATTACTCATATTTTTCACATTGCGTATTAAAATGTAAGAAATTATTCGAATGTACATTGCGAGATAAATTTATAACTTTACCGTGATTCTCTCCGAGTTCTCATGTTTTATTCTCGCAACTGACCAAACAAGAAATATTTGTTAGCGTGGAATATAATTATTTGCGATTATCTGGAAAGAGAAAGAACGAAAAGTAATAAATTTCTTACATTTTAATATGCAATGTGAAAAATATGAATACTTGTAAATGTGTTTTCCAACAGTGAGGTTTCTTTTGTTGTTTTGACGCTCGAGAAGCCAACTCAACGCCTACTACGCAACTGTGGGCCCGCGACGCGAAAGAAAATTCAAAAGCGCAGAAGCGCGTGGTGGGAAGCTCTACTGCGCTACTCTACAGCGCAGCGCGTAGTCTCAGATCTCGTCGGTCTCTCGAGAGTAACGGACGTGTTATCGGGTTGTGCGCGATTCTCAAAATTTTTTTTTTTNATTATAACAAGTTCGTACGCGATTTCGTACATAAGTNAATTTCTTCACTAAATTAATTATTGTATATAATTTTGTTATTNTAAATATACCGCGTATATCGCGATTAAATATTTCGCGTATATAAATTATTAGTCTTCCGCTTCGTAATTTCTTTATTTTTTAAAATAATTATTCTAATACATAAAGCAATATATCGGTTCACCTCTAACAATATTCATTTTTTTGCTACATATTGTATATAACATATATTGAAAAATATACTTTTTATCTCAATTTTATCAAGAAGAATTTTACAATACGGGTTTAATATTTTACAAATTAAAGTTTCGATAATACTCTCTCTTAAGAGAACCGCGATAAATCTATAACTTTTTATTCATTTCCGAATTCTTCTCTTTGACAGTTTGGGTGCAAGNGGTACCATTGTCATCTTAACTGTCATTGAGAAGAGTTCGGAGGTGAATAAAATGTTATAGATTTTTTATATTCAGTAGTGCTTGTTGACTCGATTTTAAAGAGTTTAATTGTTGTAAAATTCTCTGTAAAATTCAAATAAAAACTACATTTCCACATATCATGCTATAACATA